TACCAGGGAGAAGAGATCAGCACCTCCCGCTCCACTTCCCCTCCTCAGGAAGCTGTAGAGAGCAATGAGGTCGCCCCTCAGCCTCCTTCTCTCCAAACTAGACAAACCCAGAGTCCTCAGCCGCTCCTCATAGGACATGCCTTCCAGCCCTTTCACCAGCTTTGTTGCCCTCCTCTGGACGCATTCAAGTACCTTAACATCCTTCTTAAATTGTGGGGCCCAGAACTGCACACAGTACTCAAGGTGAGGCCGCACCACCACTAAATACAGAGGGATAATCAGCTCTTTTGACTGGCTGGTTATGCTGTGTTTAATGCACCCCAGAATGCAGTGTGCCCTCTTGGCTGCCAGGGCACGCTGCTGGCTCCTATTGAGCTTGCTGTCAACCAGCACCCCCAGATCCCTTTCTGCAGGGCTGCTCTCCAGCCACTCCTCTCCCAATCTATACTTGTGTCCGGCATTACTCAGTCCCAAGTGCAGAATCCAGCATTTGTTCTTGTTAAATTCCATGCCACTGATGATTGCCCAGTAATCCAATCCATCTAGATGCCTCTGCAAGGCCTCTTGTCCCTCAAGAGATTCACCAGCACATCCCAGTTTGGTATCCAAACTTGCTTTCACCCAGCGCTCTGTGAATCTGCTCATCCCACAGTTGGAGAACTTGTCCAGAAGGATTCTGTGAGGGACAGTATCAAAAGCCTTACTAAAATTCAAAATAAACTACATCTACTGCCTTCCCTTCATCCACTAGGTGACCTTGTCATAGAAGGTAACCTTATCATAGAAGGATATCAAATTAGTTAAACAGGACTTTCCCTTTGTGAACCCATGTTGACTGTGCCTGATGATTGCATTGTTCTTTAAATGCCTTTCAATAGCACCTGGTATGATCTGCTCCATAATTTTTCCAGGAACTGAGGTTAGACTAACAGGTCTGTAGTTTCCTGGGTCTTCCCTCATGCCCTTCTTGTAAATTGGAATAACGTTGGCTAGCTTCCAGTCAGCAGGGACCTCCCCAGACTCCCAAGACCTTTGGTAGATGATTGAGAGGGGTCCTGTTGTAACATCCACTGACTCCTTCAGTACTCTATTTTGTTTCTTAAAAACAGTTTCTATTATGAACAAAGAATCATATCTGCAGTTTGTCCTTTGTTAATTTAGCAACTCTCATTTTCATCAAAGAGAGGCTATATCCCCAGGAATTCCTCTGACAAAAGCCCTGCCCCCCAGAATCTGGAAGATTTTCTAATTACAATGTAAAGCAACTTACAGCAAGGATGCCTGACTAAAGAGAGAAGTCTGAGAGCTTCAGGAAAAGAAAAAGAAAGTCTATGAGAGAGTGTGTGTGAGAGACAGAGCTTCACTTTCTCATATGAGTAAAGTGAGGAGAATTATACCTGTCCTTAAGTTTTGTGGAGTGTGGAGTCAAGGTCTCTGGTTTCAGGTTTGGACCTGCTTGCTTTCTTTCCTTTCTTCTTTTCTTCTGTTTCTCTCTCTCTCTCTCTCTCTCTGTTGGTATGTGTAGACCCCATATTTATATGAAAAACTTATATTGATTCTTATGGAGTCTTGTTAGATTTACATGTGTTAACAAAAAGGAGCTCTTAGAAGCTCTGTTTGGGGAAGTACAGTCAGAGAATAAAAGAGGGCTGTTAATCCTGGTCTGAGTCATGGGAGTAGTATATGGCTTCTCCTCCTGGGAAGAAAAGAGAAGTTCCAGAGAGGCATTACCTTGGAAATCCCACCCAGAGCAGCAGCATCAAGAGCTACCAGCTCTTCCTAGCTCTCTCTATGTACTGGGATTTGTCCAAAGAATACTGTCATGTGTGGAAGGAGAATTGCATGATCATCCCATGCCCATCATAGGTATTGCTATCCCTGAGCTGGCACAGGAGAGGGTCCAATTGATTCAGAAGCCTTTGATATTGACTACCAATCAAGCTCATTTACTCGTCTTCATTGCTCACAGCTCCTGCCTGACTCGCCCTTAGGCATGGCTGGGCAAACCTTACTGTTTAATCTTTGCAGCTTCAGATCTGACCTTTTGCTTCAGCCAGCATGGCTGTGGGTCAGTGGATTGCCTGGGCACAAGCTGGGAGCTCTGTGTTACAGTACACAGGAGTGAAGGAATTTGGAGGAGTCATATAAAAAAAGCCATAGCTTTTTTTATAACCAGGAGAAAACTAGTCTGGATTAACATTGGTGCTAACTTGTTTCTCTTCAGAGTTGAAGTCTACAACAAAGGTACATACTGAGTATGCTGAAAAATCCTTTTCAGCTTTGTCAGACACTTAAAAATAAATGTTTTTCTTGAGATAAAAATCCGTGTATAGTACATTATTTATTTTTCAAAATGCACTTGTAAGCACAACAGATCATACCATCTCATTACTAGAAAATACACTGTTGACATTGCACATCAATTCCCTTTCTGGCATAGGGTAAAATATACTGTCACAAAGGCTTCTCAAGATACCTGAAGGCACTTTGTCCCTCAGAAGCAACTGAAAATGAAAAGTTTTCCCATGTTGTTCTTTGAACAGTTAGCTCTCTTTTTCTTTTCTTTTTTTTTTTCTTTCAGTAGAATTGGAGGGCATATGCTGCCTCATTAAGAGCTATACTGTTATGCCCTTTTTTACTCATTTATGTGTAAACACAACTTGAAAATTCTGCTTATTGCTTTACTTAGTCTTATCTACACATGAAAGTAATATCTTTGCTGGTGTAGTTAAAAAACTGCAGCCACATCCTTTAATGTATATACAGTTGCACCAGGAAAATGATAATCATTTATAGAAGGGGGAGCAAGTTTTACACTCACTGTAAGTCATCTTTATACCTGTTCAAATTTTTTTTTCCAGTTTTATGTTTATATATTTTGGGAAAGGGTTCTTTATTGTGCTGATTATTATTAAAAAGAAGATATTTAGCCAAAATAGTTTGTAAAGTAGAAAATCTGTGGTTTGAGCAGGCTAAATAAGTATCAGAGACATAATTTTGTTCTGTTTTTCTTTTGTTAGAGCACCAGAGTAAGTGAAAGGGAGTCAGGATGGTGAATCTTTAACTAGGCCTTCTTTACTTTACAATTTAATTAAAATATTATAGCTCCATTTCTTCATCCATAAAGAAAGAAAAAGGCTGAAAGCTTAATGTTTTTTCTCCTTACAAATTTCCATCAGTATAAGCAGCAAGAGTGAAAGGACTGTAAGCATAATATACTTTCTCTCTTCTTTCAGAGAGGTCAAGTTACTTCTGTTCCACACTGCTCTCATTCATTTACTTGGAATACTGTGATGCATGTGTGGATATTAAATGTAGAGATATGTTACACAGAAATACTGTGACTTAGTGTTGACTTGGTAGCAGTATGGGAAGCTAAGGCTTCAGTAACACATTAACTTATTCAGAGTCAAAACTTTGCAGTTGCTCTCTTCGTTAACTGTGGCAAACACAGGAAAACCAGTTATCTTATAAAATTTCATCTGATTTTTTAGCCCATAGATGAGAGCAGTCAGATGAGTGACCTTCCAGTCAAAGTGACTCACACTGAAACAGGCAAAGTTCTTCTTGGACCAGAAGCACCAAAAGCAAGTCAGCTAGATGCTTGGTTGGAAATGAACCCTGGGTAAGTAGCTAGCAAACCAATCGGGTATTTTTATTATTGGGGGGGGTGTCAACTATATTGTTATTTTTGATGAAATTGTCTTTTTTATCTATTCCATTTGCCTTTTCATTTATTACTTGTAAGTTGAGTAGGAAATGTACTGAATCTATTCCATTCCTCCCTTTGTATTTCTAATTCGTGTTCTTTTGTCTTCTCTGTACAGCTATGAAGTTGCGCCCAGGTCAGACAGTGAAGATGAAAGTGGCTCTGAATATGAGGAGGAGGTAGGTATGCCTTTTTTCATAGGCTTGAAGCAAAGCAGTAGCAAGTGTCTAATTGTTTTAAACATAATACAAACAGCAAAATACATCCTTTTTGCAGTGATGCTCATTGCATAGCATGTCTTTTATACGTGCTGTAAATGCCTACCTGATAACCTGAATGAGGGGAAAAGAGAATTTGTTTTACTCTCATATCATCAGAGTAAAAATAAAGAAATAATCATGTCAGAAAAGGCAAGCAGGTTCCTATTTTAAAATACACCTCTGTAAAGGACATATGGTGTCTTTGTGCTGAATGAAGTTAACTTCTTTTATCTTCTAGATGCCTCTTGTATCCATTATGTAATACTTTTCTACAGAAAGCAATGCTTTCTTAGTCTTAACATTGAAGTATTGCCTATTGAGAGGATGAGAAAAGAAATTTTATTGATTCTGACTCAGGTGTTCTGAGTCAGTAAATGGCAAAGGTTTATTAGGATCATTTGCTAGAATACACCTTCATTTTTACAGCTGCACATCAGCATTTGGAAGCTTTCAGGGTCATTTTGTTTTTTTTTCCTTAGTAATTCTTCAGTAAGGATGAAATAGGGCCAATGTAATAAGACATAGTTAGGTATGTTCATTTGTCTGTTTATATCATCTTTGATAGATGTAATATTATAGAGCAATATTTTGCTCTGTTTGACTGTTAAAAATTTAAAATGTTCCACAACACCCTTTTCTTCAAATGGTTAAATCATTGTTAGAGACCCCCCCAGTAAAATCAGAAAAATTTACCCATTTGTCATCCATTGCAACTGTAGCTAGAAGGGAAACTATAAATAAAGATTAAAAATATAACCTGTTTTAAAAAAATAATAAACAAAAAGCTTAAAACAGCATGAATGCAGAAGCTCTTGCCATTTTTTTAAGCTGTCTTACAGTATCATGCATCTTGAATATCTATTGTGGTTTAACCCCAGTTGGCAACTAAGCACCACACAGCTGCTTGCTCACCCTCCCCCCTCCCTGGTGGGATGGGGGAGAGAATCAGGAAAAAAAAAAGTAAAACCTGTGAGTTGAGATAAAGACAGTTTAATAGGACAGAAGAGGAAGAGGAAATAATAACAATAACAATAACAATAACAATAACAATAACAATAACAATAACAATAACAATAACAATAACAATAACAATAACAATAACAATAACAATAACAATAACAATAACAATAACAATAACAATAACAATAACAATAACAATAACAATAACAATAATAATAATATATACAAAACAAATTATGCACAATGCAGTTGCTCACCACCTGCTGACCAATGCCCATCCCATCCCCAAGCAGTGATCACTGCCCCCCAGCCAACTCCCCCCAGTTTATATACTGAGCATGATGTCAAATGGTATGGAATAGCCCTTTGGCCAGTCTGGGTCAGCAGTCCTGGCTGTGCTCCCTCCCAGCTTCTTGTGCACCTGGCAGAGCATGGGAAGCTGAAAAGTCCTTGACTAGTGTAAGCACTACTTAGCAACAACTAAAACATTGGTGTGTTATCAACATTATTCTCATCCTAAATCCAAAACACAGCACTATACCAGCTACTAGGAAGAAAATTAACTCTATCCCAGATGAAACCAGGACAGTATGATACAAATATATGCATAATATCAGTCTGCTCTATGAGCAGGACAGGTAGAGTAAGATGTTTATAAATGAGAACATTGAAGAGAAAAATATTTTTTCTTAAAGTATTGTGACTTTCTGTTAGTTAATCTATGTAAATTTTTTGTTTTGTTTTGTTGCAGTGTATCAAGATAGCTGTCAGTTGAACTTTTTGGTTCAGGTTCCTGTCAGTATAAAGCATTGTTCAATGAAAGCTATTAATAAATATGTGAGTGTTAGCCAAAGTTACGACTGAGTAGCATTGGAGAGTGCAACATTTTCCTGTCCTTTTTCCATCTTCTCTAGGATGATGAAGAAGAATCAAGTAGGTTAGAAGCAGATGAGAAGATACTTCTGGATCCTAACAGCGAGGAAGTTTCTGAGAAAGATGCTAAACAAATCATTGAGTGAGCTTTGGATTCTGCCTATTTTTTTCTTTTTATTCTTTTTCTCTCCTCCCCTCCCTCTGCCCCTGAATGGTGATTTCTTATCAGGGCTCTCAAAATTAGCTTGCTCTAGATTACCATGAGTGGCTGGTTGTTGTAGTGCCTGTGACATGCATCTGCAGGAGAAGAGGTATGACTGTTTGGTAGTACTTGTGTACTACTTTAAAAGTAATGTGCATTCTTCTAAGGGTGAACTTCCCACAGTTGAGGATTTCTACTGCCTCTTTACCACTTGTATAAATAAGTGAACTGTATTGAAAAATACATGTATTTGTGGGAATTTGCCTTTATTCTTTGTCTGCTTTCCAGGACAGCCAAACAAGATGTGGATGATGAATACAGTATGCAATATAGTGCTAGAGGATCTCAGTCCTACTACACTGTTGCTCATGCAATCATAGAGAGGGTGGAGAAGCAGTCTTCTCTTCTTATTAATGGTACACTAAAACATTATCAGGTAAGAAATATAGTTGGAGTTAGCTTAAGTAGTTCCAAACCCTTTTATTCAAAATAATACCCTGCTCTACAGCTGACAGTTACATAATAATGGCCAGGCTCCTATATAATATACTTTTCATTGAGTAAAACATGTTAAAATGTTTAAAAGACTTGCTTTATCCTAGATATTTCATTACAGTACTTAAAATGACAAACTGAAAATGTGTACAGAAACAAAAGATATCTGTTAGGTTAGAAACTGATGATCATATGGAGAAAGGGAATGTAGTCTTCTATCCCAGATCAAATTTCATACATACTGCTTGAATAATAACATCAACTTTCTATATATACCTGTAAAGATCTCTTTTCATTGCAGACCAATAGTGTTTTGGTTTTGCTCTCCTTCCCATCAACGCAGTATTTGGTTTTTTTCTCATTATTTCAATTTTAATTTATTATTTTTTTAAATAATATTTTTCTTCTTTTAATATTTAAAAATTTAACAATTTGAGCTTTTAGTACTTCAGCGTGGATCTCTAGTGATTGAATTGATAAAATTGTTCTATAAAATATTTGTTTTATATACAGATTGTTAGTGTTACAGATAAGGTGCATACTTTTCCAGAGAGCTTTACACCAGGCGTGTTGAGGCCTGGTTTTGGTTCTTGTCCTATCACTCTCCCTTTGACTCTTATGCCCTTCAGTTTCCTCTAGATCTTATCCATTTTTTCCTGCCCCACTTTCCTTCTCTTTTTTTTCCTTTTTCACATGTTCTTCATTCTTGATTTTGGTTAGGCTGCCTCTTCCTTCTGAACATCAGTACATGTCAGCAAAGGGGTGATTGATGACACAGGAAAGAGTTTATTATCAGTTCTGAAGCCACTTGTAAGTGGGAGACAATTGCAGAAAAAGTTCTGCTTGACTGTTGGTGCCCTGAGTTCAGTAAAGACAGTCTTCAGAGAATTTAGTACCTAAATATAAATCAATCAGCATATGTGTGAAGCTGATGTATTGGCTGTATTATTTTGTATAAATTTTCATCTATACAACAGATTACTTTTAACATACAGTGTTTTCCCCATACTTCTTAGCTGAACTTTCTCAGACCTGTTAATTTACTTGTCTCCCCATGCATGAGACTCATCAAACATCTGGATCATGGAAGTGGGAATGTGTCTAGATTACACTTGTATGGGATAATGTGATATGTACATGCATAGAAGGCTGTGTGACAAGAAAGTAGTCACCGTGCTAGGATGCAATAGAGTGAGTGTACCTTCTAGCTAGCCCAGCTAGGTAGATACTGCTTACTACACTGTTGTGGCTTCTTCCCAACTCTGGGATTCTACATGTCAGGCATAGTTGGTAAGTGGACCTCTTCTGACACATGGAGTTGTGGACAGCAAGCACTAAATGGGTGTCTACTACGAGTTTCAAGATGCTAGTGATACAGTCAGGGAGTGTGAAGTGGAACCAAATGTGAGTCTTATGGCTAGTGCATGAGACTTGATAGGTTTGGTTTTGAGAAAGTTTTGGTTGAGAGATCTGACATGAAATTTTACTCCAAAGGTTTTAAATTTGACAGTGTCTAAATTAACAAATAGAATCTTTTAGTGGTGTTAAGAAACCTGACGTATGGGCAGCAGTGTTAGTCTGCCTACAGTACAAAAAAACTTCAGTATGTATAAAATATGATTTGGTACCATGGGCCATACTGGCCCTAAATAGCGGTGATGACTTTCATATAGATGTAAGTCTTATCACCTTTTCCAAGATGTATTGGGAACTGCATGCACATAGTACTATGGAAGGAAAAACAGCATCTAAGTAGTAAGAGAAGTAAGAACTTCGCTTCTGTAATATTAGTACTACCTACCTCTGTGTATTTCAAATAATTGAAATGATTATTCATTTCAGCTCCAGGGCCTGGAATGGATGGTTTCACTCTATAATAACAATTTAAATGGAATTTTAGCTGATGAAATGGGACTAGGAAAAACCATACAGACTATTGCACTCATCACTTATCTGATGGAACACAAAAGACTCAACGGCCCCTATCTCATCATTGTTCCCCTTTCGTAAGTAAAGAAACTCATTCTGCTATTATTCTGTGTATTGTAGCTTGGTTTCTTAGCAACATGTACTTTTTTTTCACACAATGACAAGATGAGGCACATCTTGGAATTGCACTGAGTATGTATTCTGAATTTAGCCTGTGATTATTTCTTCCTCACTGATTGTCTAGCATTGGAAAGGTGACCAGATGGCTGATAAAAGCACTTTGTTTAATTAATTTTGCTGTTCACTCTGCTGGCATGCTATATAGTATGTCCTACTTCACTGTTACTTACTCCTCACATTAGCCATGAGAGAGGAATTATACTTTTTTTTTTTATATTACATGCCTGTAGTTTTCCCCATTCTAGGAACCTTTTAAAGTTTCTGGAAAAAAGAAGCTGAAACTTGAGTTTTAAAACTCTTTCTTCCTTCTCTTCTCCCCCCATAAGATGCACATTAGACCAGGTTGGTGCTGCCTTGGCATGTCCAATGACTTCACAAACAAAAAGGTTATCTTCTGTTCCCATATCATACTGGCAAACATACTTTTACCCATTTAAAAGACTATTTATTGTGACCATAAAGCTGAAACCACACAGTGCAAAACCGAATCTGCCTAGTGGCAATAGTATATAATTATAGCTGAATACAGATGTGTTTTACTGTAGACTTCATATGGCTATATCTGAAAAGTTGCAAGCTCATGAGAGGCAATCAGCTTACAATGACACATAAGTCTTTCTGTGTAGGTATATCTTCCCCTTAATATGTGTCAAAATACAAAGGTATACTTCAAATACTTTGCTGAATTGGTCTGAAAGGAACCCCTGAATATAAGGGGAAGAGACATTTTGCCCACATTATTTCTATTTCCTCCCCTCTCAAATAAAGATACATATATCCTGATACAATATATTATGTGCTTCTTTTTAAATATACTGTTTATTATAGGGGGTGTAAAAAGTATGTTGAGAATCCAGCATTCAGTGGGAAACAGATGGCATAATTATGAAGTTTAGCTTTTTTGTTTAACAAATAATGAAATATATTATTTTTACCTATTAATCTTGTATTTAGAACTTTATCCAACTGGACATACGAATTTGACAAATGGGCTCCTACTGTGGTGAAAATATCTTACAAGGTTTGATTTATTTTTTTATATGAACATCAAGCTGAAAGAATAAACCATGTTTTTTCCTCAGCCCCTACATTCATTTGTAAACTGTGTTTGTTTGTAAAGTTTTGTCATGTACATTATGTACTAAGCAGTGAGAGTTAATCATCCCAAGATTACTGTAATTAACTGTAATTGCTTTCAGTTAGCAAAATGCAGAATAAAATTGTTAAACACCATATTGCAAGGATTTGCTGAGAGCAATACAAATGATAAATACTGCACATTTTGTATACAGCTGAATATTTTGTTGTTTGGCTACTGCAGTTCCTATAAAGTCAAGCAATTAGTAAGGAGACCAGACTGCCAGCTGCATGCTTCCATTCCCATAGAAACAGAGCTTTACAGTCCAGCAGCTGGTTAGGGAAACCACTCTTGAAGGAGTATGGAATATATCAATATATTTGGTATGATTTTGCAGGATTACAAGGTCATATATTGGCTCTTTCTCTGCTAATTCATGACTGTACTGCATAGAAATATAGGTATATCTGTTTTCTTCATCCTTTGTCTCTGTTTTAGGGGACACCTGCCATGCGTCGCTCACTTGTTCCTCAGCTTCGAAGTGGAAAATTTAATGTTCTTTTAACTACTTACGAGTACATAATAAAGGACAAACATATTCTTGCTAAGGTAAGGAATGTCTGTCATCTCTTAACAGCTAACCCTTAAAGACATCATCTTATTTGGCGCCTAGCACAAAACACCTGATTTTGATTTACAGTCCTGGATTGCTGTTTTGTCTTGCTAAAAATTAACCATTTCATCTACCTTTTCATTCCCCTGTTGACAATTGGATCTCTCCCTCCTGAAAACAGCAGGATTTTTCTGGATATAATTCAGAGAATAATATTATTGCTCTGGAATTTTGTCAGTACTGTAGACTTACCTGTCTTTAGAAAAGTGTGATTTTTCTTTCCACGGCCTGATAGCATTTATCCTAATCTGTCATCCTGACTCTACTTTTTTAGCTTTGTTTCCAAGCTGAAGCTTGCTGTTATTACAACCTCTCTAGCTGCATGGTGTGTTTTTCCCAGGTGACCACCTATATAATGAATTTTATATCCAGACACTTTATTACATAAGACTCAGTTTTTAAAAGCTCACAAACTGATCTGTGGATATTGGTGCCTCAGACTAATGAACTGTTTTGAAAACTGTATGGTAGTGTAAGAGTATTTTATAAAATACACACATACCCGACCAGGTAGGTATGTTTTGCCATACTGTGAAACCTTGTGATCCTAGTGTCTTTATTTTATCCTATTATATATTTAGATGTCTCATTTGTCCTCTCTGAAACATAGACAGTACATGATCTTGGCATAATTCTGAATGGTTGAAAACAGTTTTACTCTGCACAGTTTTTCTATCCCTCTAGTTTTTGCCCACCATTACTAAAAGATAAGAGCAGGGAACAGCAGTGTGGCACCAATCTTTTCTGTGCAATGGGGCTATGTAGCATCTGATGAAAGCACTTGAGGACTACAAACTGAGACCTTACTGGTCATGTGATCAGTACATCATAGTCTCGTTATGTTGCTGTGTACCCCATCACATGACTCAAATGTTGCACATAACTACAAACAGAGGTATCCTCTGGTTTATGACTGGTATGCCCTTGGCATAGGGATTTAGGGATCTGGGGGTGCTGGTTGACAGCAAGCTCAATAGGAGTCAGCAGCGTGCCCTGGCAGCCAAGAGGGCACACTGCATTCTGGGGTGTATTAAACACAGGATAACCAGCCAG